ATTGTTCTTTGCATCAAATATCCGGAATTTGCTTTTCATAGCTACGTAAAACTATCAGTACACCCGAATACCACACGTGGTTTGGTAGCTACGTAAAACTATCAGTACACCCGAATACCACACGTGGTTTGGCAGCTACGTAAAACTATCAGTACACCCGAATACCACACTTGGTTTGGTAGCTACGTAAAACTATCAGTACACCCGAATACCACACTTGGTTTGGTAGCTACGTAAAACTATCAGTACACCCGAATACCACACTTGGTTTGGTAGCTACGTAAAACTATCAGTACACCCGAATACCACACGTGGTTTGGTATATTATTTATATATTCAGACATTCAACACTGATTAGAAACTTATAATAATATCTGATTATAACTTAGAATATTTTTAGTTGCACATAAAATTCAGTAATTTGACCAAGGCTCCAGCATAAATTAAAAAATCCTTTACTAATTTTCTTCATGGTAAATGCCAATATGGGTAGACACTGTCTTTTTTTATCGTTCTGTGGATGTTAGTGACCACTTGAGCTGAGGTTACTGAGCGGGCACCACATGCCACAAACCATCTTGATCTATCGGAAGAGATTCTGTCACCCAGACCAGCCTTTGTTTGATCAAAAAAGTTCCAGCTTTGATTTTGAAGTGTTCAGGATAACATGGGTCATGTTCTTGTAGCAGTTCTCTTTGTGACGACTTTAATTTTAACATGTTAAGTTATTTTAAGTTCACTTTCAACACTCAGATGACTTCTAAATCTCTTTCACATTAATTTACGAGAACGCCTTTTCCACGTTGGCAAAGCATGATCATAATTAATCATATTTGTCCTAAGACATTAGTATTAGGCCTATCATAATATTTAACCCTACATTATTTAACTAATCCATTAGGGATTTTTAAAAATTGGAAATGTTTGTAACGTTAGTATTTCAGCAACACTGTGTTCACCATTGTTGTTGTAACTACTGCATTTGTTGTGTCCCAGTCAACCTGATGAGCTCTGGATTGAGCAAAAGGCGTCATTACAACAGTTTGTTTTTAGTTTCACTCAAAGCTACTCGAGGGCTACTTGTGTCAGCCGTCCCTAACTTAGCATCAATAGACCAGAGGAAAAGTAGCTAGTCAACACCAACCACTGACAAATTTTGGGCTACTCTTTTACCAATGAATTGTATGATTGACCATCACATTATAACACCCCCACAGCTGAAAGGATGAGCAAGTTTGAACCAGTAGTCGGACTTACATAACTAAATCTTCTGAACCTCTTGTTTTGAGGGTCAGCTCACCAGTGGGTTAATTATCACATCAATTTGGAATACCTAATATCACATATATTTTAGTACTGATTTTAAGCTCTCAGATTTAAGTATTTCCTATTCAGACATTCAGTACTGATTACAACATCTTAGAACAAAAGAGGCCCTTAGGAAACAGAGGCTTGAGTAGCTACTTGCCCTCTTTCTTCTGCTGTTTAAGTTATGTTTAAAAGGTACTCATATTGGATACAATGTGTTAAAATTGTGGTAAACCAAATCAGTACTTGTAAAAGTCATTTCTAGCCAGTATGCAAGAGGCTGATTTCATTTGACTTTCTGCTAAAATAAACATCTATAACCTTATTCAATAAAAAAACCAGTGAACCAAAGATTTTTTTTTTATTACCACATTCACTGGGTCTATGATTGAAAACTACAGTCAAAGTTATGGAGTAGTTTAAAAAACTGTTTTATTTGTAAATATGGTTTTAAGTATACAGGCTATAATGCACCATGTGGTTGTTAACATATTACATATGCATACTGAAAAATTACACCAGATCACTGGACACTTTAAAAAGGTAACTGTATTAGGTACTGAAACAAAAAAAATCAATTATACAGAATACAGTCGTACAATACCAACGTATATAATAAATATATGTACTGAGTGAGGATTCATAATAATGTTTCACCCAGTAACTTTCCTCTCAATAATATAACAAATTCAAATAAATTTAACAACTGACAAGGCATTATAATGAAAGATCCAATTATATTCATTTGTAAGTGACATTGTTGTATGGGATTCACAAAAAATAACAAAGTATCTAACTTATGTTGAGCTTTTGGTTTTAAAAAAAAAATAATGTTTTTATCTTATTTAAAAAAAAATGTTTTCTTTTCAAAGTTTCTCTTTGTTATATAATAAGCTTATTTACCATAAAATGTCCCTTTAATGAAAAAAAATTCCCAAAATGTTTTTTTAATTCCAACATTCAAAGACAATTTAATGGGTTAATTACAAATGACTTTGTGTTCAAAAAAATAAAACAGGCATTTAACTTGCATAATTCTGTTATAAGTATTACAACACGTAACTTATTGCTGTTAAAACCAGAAGGATATTATTGTACTGTTTTTATAAATATTCTTTCAACAGTCTTACGAACGTGCCAAATTTGTGTTACCCTGAAAAAAAATGAATAAATTTTAACTACAAATGAAATAAAGCATCATATACTGAAACTCTACTAAAACACACGGTACAAAGGACATTAACTGATACGATAAAGTATAGTTAAGCTTATCCTATCGAAGCAGGAAATAAAATAAGTCATCTTGCCCAGCATTATCTGATGAAAGAAAAGATTTGGTTTCGTTTGATTGAAATTAAGCACGCAATGGGCTATCTGTGCTGTGCCCACCATGGGTATCGAAACCCAGTTTCTAACACCGTAAAGGAAGAGAACTGAGATTGCATCTAGTATTGATTAGTAATGATGAAATGTGTACCTAGTATTCATCTTCAGTAAACTTAATAAGCTTTGCCCTACAATTTGTTGATGAAGGTTTGAATATTTCACCAAACGTGATAATAAAACAAACAGATTATACTGAGCAGTCAATAACAAAACAGCATATGTTTTGGTAGAATGAATAAATTAGAAATATTAATTTTCGAACACTTTTATTGAAAGTGGCTATTTGCAGATAACTGTATGTGTTTCTTCTATAATACTGGGATTATAGACAAAAAAACTCAATCACAATGAGAGTTAACTAAGAAGTCAATGCATTCTGATCATTATAAGCTGTGGCAATACCCTAGAATTGGCCAAAGATTCGGTCCTGTTGTTACTCCATCCTTCATCTAACTTGGCTTACATGACTACTGGGCTTCCAGATATTTAAAACAATTACTTTTGACTTTCTTTCGATTTGCTATGACGTAGTGTTCTTGTTTAGTTTGACTCATAGTTTTACAATTTTGATTTAGTTTTGTTCTCTCAGATCGCACTTAGTTATTTTGTTTTATTACAATTACTCTGGTGATCACATTGGTGACTAACTAAGAAGTCAATGTATTCTAATCATTATAAGCTTTTGTTTTATGATGTTACATACTCTTAGTTGAATTTTTATTTGTAATAAAGCACAAAGGTACATAATGGGCTATCTGTACTCCGCCCACCACGGGTATTGAAAACCTGGTTTCTAGCAATGTAAGTCTGCAGACATACTGCTGTGCCACTGGGGGCGCTCTTAGTTGAGCCAGAAACTAATTATATTTTTCACTAGGATAATTTTAGTTGTGATTTATATGATATTATCTATCTTTGATCATAAGTTAATTCTCATAAAGCATCAGTTATTCGGTTCTTACAACATTGTTTAATCATATGGCAGTGCAGTGATGTCTTACCCTTAAATGATGTAGTTGATGCAAATCTAAATATGTATCAACTTTTATTAGGTGCGGTTATGTTCAGAAGAGTTTGTGCTTTTATTGTTTGAACTTGTTTGAAATTATGTGTGTAGTTTTATAATACATGCATGTTTATTTAATTAATATTTTATATGGAATGCAGCATTGGTACGATAACTGAATAACTAAAATTTGATACAAAGAAATGGAACGATTAGTGGATTCACCTATCATGAATAGTCATTTATCATGACTCAGTAGCTACTGGCTCAAACTGCAATGTCTGGTGCACTTCCTGAAGTAGATATTGGCTGAAACCTGCACTTCCTGAAGTAGATATTGGCTGCAATCTGCACTTCCTATCACTCTTGTTGAAAAGGACACTGGTTCAAGGTTTCTATACACTGATCAGACCTGCCCTACATTTTGCAGTACCTGCAATACACAATGTCTAAGACTTTCTGTACATTGTGCTTTATGGTCACTATGCACTGCTTGAGGCCTCTATGCATGGTCCACTCCTTGCAATGCACATTGCTTATGGACTGTTCTTTGATTCGGTTCTTGCATTATGGACTGCCTGAGGCCTGTTTTGTTTACCTTGCATGGAGCATTTCCTACAATACACACAGTCTGAGGCTTGCTCTGATGGTGACTTCGTACAACATACACCATCCCAATGATAGAGCACTCCCTATAATACACAGTCTGAGGCTTGCTCTGATGGTGACTTCTTACAACATACACCATCCCAACAATAGAGCACTCCCTATAATACACAGTCTGAGGCTTGCTCTAATGGTGACTTCTTACAACATACACCATCCCAATGATAGAGCACTCCCTATAATACACAGTCTGAGGCTTGCTCTAATGGTGACTTCTTACAACATACACCATCCCAACAATAGAGAACTCCCTATAATACACATTTATGACTTGCAAACTATATTGCTAAAAGTGAACCATCCAGAGCAGGTCTTAATGGACGTGTGTTACACCATATAGGGTAGGCCTCAGCCAAGGTGTGTTGCAGAAATTGCACCATTAAACTATGCTTTAGCCACTGCGTACTATAGAAAGTGCTTCATGTATAACATGAGGTAAGTTGTATGAAGTGTATATCAGAGCAAGCCTCAGACTGTGTATTATAGGGAGTGCTCTATTGATGGGATGGTGTATGTTATAAGAATTGTACCATCAGAGCAAGCCTCAAACTGTGTATTATAGGGAGTGCTCTATTGATGGGATGGTGTATGTTGTAAGAATTGTACCATCAGAGCAAGCCTCAGATTACTATTACTATTTTCCCCCAACAAGTGCAAAAGTATGTTTGATGCAACATAATAACTGTATATTTTGCATATACCACCAGTTAAACCTTACAAACTAAGTAAAGCTATAGTGTTTTTGTTCTCCCTGTGAGACTGTTGTTGGTTTCATTAATGGTTTTTACTTTTAAACAGATGTATTTTGAAATATTCCTAAACTTGTTTAACACGAATGAGACAGGTTTTTATGGAACATGGAATTTGTTGGATGCTTTCTGAGAACTGAAACAAAAAAGAGCTTGAGCTATCCGAGAACAATATAAAAAAATGATACATCAAAATATCTATGGTACAATTTTTTAAAACTAAACATAATAAATGCTATAATGCTTTTAATCAAAAGGAAGAACATTTCATCAGTATGAAAAAAAAATATATATATGTATATTTTTAAACATACATACATAAAACTCCATGTTTTTATATCTCCAATGTCTTGGATATCAAACACAAAGTAAAGCACGCAATATCCTAACCGATAATCTGTATTTAACAACAATTAATATATGTTAAACAGGCAAAGTATTTTAACTAGCTATGCATAATCCACTCATAAACCAACCTTTCCAATCCTACGATGAGTTGTGGGTTTTGTTTGTTTAACTACAAATCTACACATTGTACTAACTAAACTATGTCCATCCATGGGGAATCGAGCCCCAGGTTTGAGCATTGTAAGTTTGTAAACTTACTGGAAGGAGATGTACTAAAAAGTAGCTACAATAATAACATTATTCCTCTCTCTTTTCTAAAATTTCAGCTGGAAATGCAACAAGAAATGTTAATTAAAGTATTAGTATCATACAGTATCAATCTGTTCTCTACTGTTTGTCATCTACCAACCAGTTTTTTTATCTTCAATATGAATAATACAGCATTTTCTTCTCTGCAAAAACAGTTTCCATTACATCTCTTTAACAAAATAAACACATTTGCATGCAATATTCCAGAGAATTATTAGCTCGGTCAAAATACACATCATATAGTTGACAATTAGAAATGTACGAAGCAACAAGTCAATGTGTCATGTTAATATTTCAAGCCTTGACAAAAAATTGGAAAAAAATCTGTATTACACACTTTTCCATTTATACTATAAGTACATCTAAATTGATATGATTAGAAGCTACATGTAAACTGGGCCTTAATAATTAAAGTTGTATATAATTAATTTTTTCTAGATAATTAAATAACTCGTTATATAATGGTATCCCATAATCAGCACGCAAGCCATTGAAATGATACTGAGACAAAAACTTTAGAAATACAAAGATTTGTTAAAAAAACAAGAAAAATAATTTGTCAAGTCTATTTTGACAACTCTTTCATTTGTAAATATACATTTAATGCTTTTCAGCTATATAGTTCCACCAGTGCCTTGCAGAATAATATCTTTTGGGTTTGATTCCCTGTACCGGAAAGTATATTTCCTTTGAATAAGTATTTATCCCCCCCCCCTGAAAAGGGCTGTTAATCTAGTAAGTCCATAAGACTAACTACCATTATTAACTAGTCAGAGTTTATTATCAAAATTCTATAAAATCCCCCTAACTTTAATCAAATTTCTACTATGCAATCTATCAAAACAAAATTGCATTCACTCAGTCTGGATCTCCCTGCTCCTTTCATGACAATGACTGCTCTATTCAACTGACATCATCGCCACGTAGATATACAATCACAGGTGTTCCACACCAACTTCAAAACGATGGTCACTCCACGGCATTCCCGGCGTGCTCGTTTCGGCATCTTCCTTAACTCCACTTGCCCATCTAAATTTCTCTCTACATGCTAAAATCTAAACTTAGCCCTGTGGCTCCAAAGAAATTTGTTTGGCATCTAATCTCCCAACGTGCGGGGTGAAGAGAAACAAAGGTTTCTGACCACCCCAAGTTGTCTTTCAGGCCCCAGAAATTAATTCTGAGACCTTAAAGATTTTTAAACCTAAATTCCTGCCACGATTTTAATTTGAATTGAAAGCACTATTCCTATAGAAAGTGTTGAAAATATGAACAAAATCTAAGTCAGGTTTTCAAATTTAAAGAGATAGATTGTAGTTAAGCACAAAGCTACACAAAGGGCTATCTGTGCTCTGCCCCCCACAGGTATTGAAACCCAGTTTCTAGCATTGTAAGTATACAGACATACCACTGGGGGGCCAAAAAAAGAGATAGATATAAAGGTTCAATGAATGAACCATTTACCAATCAACACATCACTTAGCTGATAGGTTTATATTGTTACAAACATCCAAACATATAGAAATCTTTACAATATAACTAACAAGATACCCCTAGCTTGTAAAAAGAAGTTATTACAAACAAGTAGCTGATCATGTCTGTGTCAGTAAATAAACAAAGCAATATGCAGAAAAAACAAAAGTTGGATCACAATTTGAAATATTTGATGTTATAAAACTTAAAATCAGATTTTCAGAGCCTAGAAGATTGAAAGGGTGTTAGATAAGTAGTTCTATTCAGGATGTGATCTATAAATATTTACATACAGAGCTTACTAAGCTTGGCAAGACTTTATGAATTTAGTAATTTTAATATCATCTTTTCATCATTCATTGGACTAGAAGTACTTGTGGCTGTGATGGTTCCTTATTTGTTTTCAACCAGTACATGAAAAGAAAAATAAGTTGTTTATTTTGTAATAATCTTAACGTTATGGACAAGAAAAATTGATGGGAACACCTCGTAAACAATCACAGATGTGCAAGGTTACCCACAAATCACTCATTTTTATAGCTAGGAAATGTTGCAGATGCACATCATAATCTGAAAATTTAAGATCGACAAGACTGCTGTTAAATCAATTTTACTAAATGGCAGCAATGAGGTAACATATTCAACTGTCTGTTTCTGTTTCTAAGAGCAATGCATGAAATTCTCACATGGCAGATTTATACTCTGGTCATGTTAGAAAGTATGGGTAAATTAAGACTATTATATATGACCTTACAACGTGTATTCAAGTTACCCCAATCATAAAAGTGAACGTCTGCCCCAAAGAAGAAACTGGAGGTTATTTCTCAGATATTACTCTCATTTTAATATTTATATCTGCTTTTTCATTTAAAATTTTCTCCAGTTTTGTACTTTTTAAGTTTACATATTATTCGATCCTACCTAATTATCAAGTTATGGACATTCACCTAGATCACCTGTCCAATTTCTGTACATACACATTTTACAACAGCTGCTAAACCATGTAAAAATAAATGCTGGGAAAAATAAAGTATCAAGTTGTTTATGATTGAGATTGTTTTCTTTTTAGTAGTCACTTTACAACCCTCCATCTTGAGTATTACACATTTGTGGTAAAGAACAGGCATTAGTCAGATACAACAATGTTGTTTCAGGCATCTGTAAGATGGCATGTGTTCCTTGCTGGACAACCTCTTGAGCCGTCACAGTGACGGTTTCTACTCCTGTAGTTGAAAATTGTTCCATCGAAATAGTCTGTAGCTCTTCCAACTGAAATGGTAGCGCTGTGCTCAAGGTTACTACCGTAGAATCTTCACACTCGTTAGTTTTAGGCTGCTCAACATTTTGAATGCCAGACTTACCATCTTTCCCAGTATTATGAACCTTTTGATGTCGATTCAGAGTGTACTGAGTATTGAATTTTTTCCCACAAATATCGCAGGAATATGCACGAGGATTTTTATGAATTGTTTGTACATGTTTTCTCTGCACCGATCTAGTTTTGAAAGATGCACCGCAGATTTCACACAGAAAGGTACGGACATTTGTGTGCACCGCTTGATGCTCGTACAAGTGGGACTGCGTACGAAAACTCTTGTCACAACTGGAACACCTAAAATGGAAGTTAGCTCTTGTCTCCTGAGTGTCGTGAGTCAAGCGATGTTGTCGCAAAGCATCCCCACGCTTGAAGGCTTTACCACAGAGATCACACAGATATGGCCTATTGTGAGAGTGAACGTTACTCACGTGACGTACAAGATGTTCTTTCCTCCAGGTTCTGTAACAGCAGTGTTCACACTTGTGGCTGGACTGAGAAACGTGCGTTTTAACATGTCGTTCGTATCTGTGAGGAAAGTTTGTTCGGTACGAGCAATGAGGACAATGCAAAACCTGTGGAAAAGAAAACCCACATTTACTATGAAACTGTTGTTTGCACACACGGTAATTACCCTATTAATAACACATTGACTTCTGTCCAAACAAGATACAATGTATTTTGTTATAGTGCTGGCTACTTCGTGCACTTTGAAAACATGTTAATGAACAATAATACTTACATATATATGTACTAATCTAAATAATAACTCTTAAAATAGATTATTCATCAGCCTTTGAAGAATTTATATATTCACCTATAGAAAACATCACAAAATATATTTACATTAATGATATCAATTTCCAGAGATAATCAAGTTTCTTTCTTTGCTTGAATTGTCAGTAACAAACTTGGCTATCATCCAACAGCTCCAGCCACCATCAAAGCACAGGCATCTATACAGGCCAAGTAATTTTAAATCTATGATTCTCATATATATTAATGCTATCATAATATATATATGTATATATACACAGCGTGGTCACA